GTTAAGAAAATGGAATTGTTAAGAAAATTTGATCTCATATATATCTTAGATTTTCTAGTATAAAATTTCTCATCAAAATATAAGGAAGATTAAATTTGTGTAAAAATAACAGATAGGACTAAATCAATATTCCTCTGATATTCGATCTCAGGCACACATAAAATGGTTAGCTCAAAATCTTTACCAATGTCTTGCTGGTGTAAACAAAGCCTAAGCAAAATGAGGCTTTTTACATAAAAAAAATGATTAATTAATAAAAGAGGTGTTTGGTATACTAAAAATTGACACAAGTTTATACACAGTTGTACGTATTTCCCCTTTCTAGTAACATGTAATAATTTTTACCAATAGAAAAAAAACTGAATGTTGCATTATGAAAAAGCTTCTCTACCTTATGTATATATTATTTTTCTCCTTAAGTAGGATTGGCATTATTAGCACAATTGAAGTTGCGTTTGCAAAAAGCATAGAACTGTGCAAAAAATATTGTAACACATATTGTGTTCAAATGAGGTACGTGATTTGTGTCAGTGTATCTATAGTAGTAAGTTTTGAGGGACTGGGTAACGAGGATGTAACTCACTCTTTAAATTTGCTAGCCTAAAAACATCTGGCCATGTTTTTCCTATACACAAATTAAGCGATCTTGATGTGTGATACGAGGTTTTAAAAATACAAGAGATTTTAGGCTAAAGTAAACAAAACTCTTTTTTCTTACATCAAAAATCCTACTTATAAGTAGTTACATAATGCATATGTGAATGATAATGTAGATTATAAAGTCAGTCATGTATCTATATAATGATCAAGGAAGAGGAGTATGTTGCCAGAATTTCTATCACAATCGAAGGGAAACCGTAACAAAAATTTACTAAATAGTAAAGTATAGTTGACTATAATTTACTATTATTAAAGTAAGTAAATACTTTGATACTTTGCTTAACTATGAAACTTTGTTTGGAACTTTTTTGAGATTTCAAAGCTCAAACTTTCTTAACATTGATATCAGTAAAATGTGTTGGGTGATATGTTAATATACCAGAAATACGAGAGGTAATCAAAAAGTTCACGAACTAATTGAATTACTTCTTTAAAAGAAATAAAATGAGTTTTCAGTGTTTATTTTTTAAAGAGGTCCTCTCCGATTTGAATGCACATCTGCCATCGTTCTGCCCATGCACGAATCGCGTGATCCAGGCGGCCACGTGACATGCTCCGTAGCGTTCTGTTCACAGAAGTTCAAAGATTTTTCCGAGACTTATATTTCTAACCATGAAAATTATTTTTTATAACAAGAATAGTCCATTTGTCACGAATGACCATATCTTGGCAATAGGATGGGTGGATTAGGATATTTTTTCCCATAATTAGCATGGTGACCATCACAACCCGACTCTTTTATATTGGGTGCGTCGTTTATCCATTGTGGATAAAGTATGGGTGCCTTCTTTTTATCATATGTGATATATTTAAAATCTAAGGTAAACAATATTTTAGGGATTTAATAATTATATTATTGTTGTTAAGATATTTAGCTATTTTTCTAACTGTAATTTGGCGATCTTCCGTAACAAATTCTTCAACTGAGGATACATCTCTTCCCAAGCTTACTTTCACTAGGCACCAGAACAAACATCATTTTAACTATATCCCTTTCTCACATAATCAATCAATCCCATTAATAATTGAACTTCTGGCAAGTCTTTTGTCCTCATAGACCTTGTACAAAGTATTATATGCTACTACAAAGGAATTTCCAAGATAAAAGTTAAACCTCAAAGCCGTTCGTTGCTCAAGTACGACTGAGTCAACCATTTTTTTGTCACGTCATCTACATATTGAGTAATTTTTATATTGCTAACATCTGCTATTTACAGAACATGGTTATGACTAAATGTGTGCCAAATTTCAATTTGTTCTGGACTGTAGATTTGTAAATAAAGGGATAGTTTACGAACTTTTTGATCACACCTCGTAGTTCCCTAAAATATAAAAAAATGTGCACATATAAATTTAAGAACATAAAATATTACAAACATATATCACAAAAAAAATCTTTAATTTTCTATAGTAAAAACTTACATACTGCATTAAAATATAATTAACTTTGGTAAATTATATATATTTTTTTTTTTTTTTTTTTTTTTTTTTTTTTTTTGTTAGAGACTATGAGTGTATTTCATATAGCGAACCTGATACAAACAATATATATAGTATTTCATGGTTAACTTTATTTAGATACATTCGTTTTCCCCACAATACAGATAATGCAATTCTACAGACAATAAATGCATTGTAAGTACACAAATTACTGGGGAAACATGAAATCTATGAGCCCGTGCTCTCTAGTGATACCCAACCCGCACACATACGAATAAGATTTGTACCAAAATGAATACCACCAAATGGCATGCCGAACTAAAGAGTGTGATAGAGAAAACTGCAACGAAAAAAAGTGTTTCGGACAGACATATAAACACAAACACTCACCCCCCACACACTCACACACAACAGGTATATACCACCATTTCCTTCGGAGCGGGGGTATTAATATTCATGTAATAAATAAATATAAATGAACCTAAAAGAGGGAAAAAGATGTTACATGATATTAAAAATGAAGCAGTAATTACAGTTAATACATTTTGAATACATATATCTGAATCTACAATCCTTTCTCAATTTCTAATTCTGTAATGTTATGTATTATAAACAGCAAAGAAAACATAACTCATCTGCATTTAAAATATTTAATTAGGATCTTTCTTCATATTGGACGCTTCATATGCCGTGCTTTCTCTCATTTTTTCCTTGTCTAGAAATAATAATACAATACATATTTTGGTGCAATGCATTGGTGTATCCAGAAATTGAGCTGGGGTAAAAGCTGGGGTGGAGGCAGGTTGAAAGCGGGCACAAATTTTAAGCTAGAAGTATGGGGCCACTAACTTGTCCTTTAGATGGTTTCCGATAACATGCATTCCATATAAGTAAATCGTTGTCAGAAACATGTCATTTTCGGAACAAAATATGTGAAAAAAAAAAATCCACCAAAAACCAAGAAAAAAAAAAACAATTAAGGAGGGGAAGATACTTTGCTTCTCCCCCAATATACATTTGAAAGAAAAAAAATTCAGGAAACTCTAGGCTTTCACCAACCCTCCCAAACCTCCGATTAACGCATATCACGTCTCATTTCTAAAGGTTTAATTATAAAATATAGTGCAAAAGTAGGGGGCTAGATTTCTAAGGGGTCATTTTTCAACGTGTTTAGAGTCGTAGAATTACCGGCCTGGAATGGTTTTCTACGGTCGACAAATGACCCTACTTGCCGTAGAAAATTGACTGGGGGGTCATTTTTCCCCGGTCAATACTCTACGGGGGTCAGTTTTCGTCGTTACACCTTCACCAAGCGCTCGGCACTTTGAAGTGAAAGTTGCGGGTCCGTCGGATGAGACCTTAAAAACCAAGGTCCCGTGTCACGGCAGGCGTTGGAACAATGAAGATCCCTCACTGCATGCTCAATGCCCTGAGTGCCGTGTAAAGGTTTAAATTTGAAGCCCTTCACCGGTATATAGTGACGTCTCTATATGAGTGAAAAATTCTCGAATTGGACGTAAAACAACGTACAATCAATCAAACAATCGTGCAAGCACCTACTGCGACAGGGGATCTCGGTTTATACGGCCTCATACGAAGGATCGTTCTCCACGTCATGCAGTGGTATCTGACCCGCGATGTAAGGATCAACGCCTTATTCTGTGACTCTAGAGCAGACGTTCTAACCAAATATTTTTTATATATTTTCTTGACATCATTCATCTTTTGCATTAGTAAATATGTAAGACTAAAAATTAGAGCAACAAAGATACCGTAAGGCAAATTATCATAACCTTACTTTTAGGTAATGGAACATTTGCAGGGGGTGAGGTCCCTAGCAAGAATTTGAAAGAAAATATTAAAACAAATTTCGAAATGGGCATGAAACATCTTTCTCAGGCCAACTACAACATAGAGTCCAAATTATCAATACTTGACATAGTACTGTAAACTCTTTTCTTCTTTTCGTCTTTGGAAATACTTGCTTCCTCAAATATCAGGAAATTTGCAGGTTCTTTTTCCTATCAATATTTAATAAGTATATGTGAAATGTCAGACATCAATGTACATGCATTTTATTAAATTAACGCGTCCAATAATTTCCCTCTCGTTTTTATGCACAATTTGCTTAAATGTAGTTTCATCTTTAGATAATATTCAAGACAAAAAATTCAGTAATTTTACTTGCCCAGTACCGTTGGTATATGCATTTTGACTTTCTTTCAAGGGCATTACCCGTCAAAAGCAAACCGACGATACATTAAGTATCCTTGACATGAAAGCTGTGCAGCATTTGTTTTGTCTTCTTATACCCTAACATAATAAGTAAAAGGTCTTCAATTGTTCAGTTTTTGTTAATAATGAATAAAGTGTTTTAAAGGATAATATTCGCAGTAAAATATTTTAGTCAACTATATCTTAAACTAATTACAGAAATTTTCAACCTACTTTCAAATCGACAGAGCAATCTATTGAATATTCATCCATTTATATTCATGAGGAACCTGCTAAAACTCCTTTTGAATTTCAGCACTGGTAATAAAGAACAAGTTTATTTTGGTGGATTGAAGGCCACAAGATATTGTAAACATTTGGTAGCAAAATATTTCCCGGTCTACCTCAGTACAATTGAACAATCGCCAATCTAGATAAATCTATTTTTAAAAAACCTATTACCCATATACATGCATGTAATACCCATTAGAGCTCTTCTTGAATTTCCTCAATGGTAATCTATCTACTTTGGTACATTAAAGAAATAACTTGAATTTTGTTTGACCCCGGAATTATAACATGATATCTGATCTGCGCCTATTCAGATAAACAATTTAAATAATGTTTTGTAAGTGTATATTTCACAGTATGTATATTTAAGGATATCTTTAAAGGTAAACGAAAACATGTCTGACAGTCAAAAATCTAAATTGAAAAATCAAAAGGAGAAAGGGACAAAACAGCGCAAAAGATTAAGGTATGAAAAAAAGTAAGCAACAGACATTGTCATCAAAATAATTCTATAAGAAAGAAAAATATATACATTGTTCATTGTTTTGTTTTGTTTTTGTTTTTGCACAATTTTTTGACATGATTTCATAACTTATTATGTTCATGCCTCGTAACTCCATAATCTTTGTTTACAAAAATTTCCTAATAAATACTCCTGTATCTCATTTCATTTTTATTTTTAGCCAAGCGATTACAGGGTGGCCATACTTGTAAAAAAAAAAAAATAATTTTCACAAATGATCTTGCTGCTTATGAAATTTGTTTATTGATTAAAAATTTTTACGAGTCCTTTTTTCAACTTATTCCAATTGATGAAATCAAAAACAAATTTTGATAACGATTCTTTTTACTCAGCAATGTTAGTAAATTTTGTCAATCATTTATTTGAGTGAACTATTTCAGCACACAGAAAGATGACATTATTTCTTGGGATGAGTATTTCATGGGTATTGCTTTTCTGTCAGCAAAAAGAAGCAAGTATGAAGTGCGAAAGGTATTTTTAGGCAACAATTCCCTATTTCTTTTTTCTTTTTCTTTCTTTTCGTTGCAAATGTTTTTCGTTAACAGCTGTGATCCTTAAATTGAGTTCTTAGTAGTTATGCCTATATGTATCGTTGGACAATATCTGTAGAAAGTGAATTCTTGAGATCTTAAAGAACGAAAAGAAAAGAAAAGAGAGCAGCGACAAAACTTTCCAACAAAGAACTACGCACGCTAATTCCCGATTCCCGCCTACATTTTACACCCATTTTTGACCACATTTATCCACATTTAGTCCATTGAAACTTAATGGATTACAAAGAGCAGAATATTAGCAATTGATTAATTATTTTAAACCAGTGTCATAAAGTTAATTGCTCTATTTTAAAACTGTTTTCATAAGAGGGTTGGTGGGTGGGGGTTAGAACATTTTAACTATAGAAATCAGGCTTAAAAGCATCAGCTGATTTTCAAAGAAGCATTTAAATGGATAAATGACACATAGATCTTTCTGTATGTTTAACTTTTTTTGTGAAATTTAATGTAAAGATTGGTAAATGCATTTTTACATGTTATTTTATTTGAAATTTTTAATAAAATGACCATTTTTGATGTTTTTTTTAGTCTGTAAATATATCCCCCCACCCGTGAAACAGCAAAAACTTTGAATGAAATATATTGAGATAATGAACAGTATTCAAGATCAAAAGTCCATTAAACAATCTAAATGTTGGAGCAGAGCAAACACGGACCTATAAAACATCAGAGGTGGGGTCAGGTGCTATTGAGGAGTGAGCATCCCCTGCCGACCGGTCACACCCGCCGTGTGCCCCTTGTCATCATCGGGAAATAACAGAAAAATCCGTCGACAATTCAGTGTGTAAATAATGGTCTAACAATCAGTATGAAAAACGTCAGTCAACAAGGTCATTGTATCGACCATAGAACTTACGAAATGATGACTTTAAACGAGACTGCTGATACTCTTGTTTCATCAACTTGTTTGTCAATAATATACCTCGGTTTAGAAATTGTGCATACGTAGAGCATGCTCTTGCGTATCGAATCAACTGAGAGATATAAACCTCGTAATCAGGCGATGAAGGTATATATTGCTGAACAAGTAAGAGAAGTTAACGATTGAAAAGTTAAAGTCATCACGTTTATCATAAAGCTTGGTTGTTAGATTACCATTAATGTCTTTTGCAAGTAAAATATCTAAATGTGAAACAGATGTGTCAGACTCTGTGGTGTCTTTCATCTCAAGCTCACCAGGATATATCGTATCGACATAGATATGGAAATATCCATTGTTAATTGACAATACGTCGTCGATATATCTAAATGTCGAGTTGAAGGCCACAACAAGTGATTTCTTCTTTTCACGTATAAGATTTTGGACAAATTCTGCTTCATATGAATACAAAAAAGGTCTGCTAATAACGGGGCACAATTGGTACACATGGGAATTCCAATAGATTGTTGCAAGACCTGGTCTCCAAAAACCACATAGATATTGTCTATCAGAAACTCAAGCATCTTTTTAATGTCAACTTCAAAGTAACTGTGTGTACAATCAGAATGTATTTTAACAAAATGATTTTGCAAATGACCAATGACAAGGTATGTAAATTTACGAGTTCCATTTTTATTGAAAAAGCAGCTGTCAATGATACCAAAAGGCCTGGACTTTAATTTATCGTGGGGAATGGTTGTGTATAAAGTTGAAAAGTCGTAAGTTTTTAAGCTGTTGATTTTTGTAAAATCTTGTAATTTCAAATTTTCCAAAAGTTTCTTGGAATTTTTAAGTATCCACATCTGATTTACACCACTTCTCGAATATATTGTTGCACAGTACTCTTGAAGTTTCTTCACTACTGTTAATATCTTAGTGAGTAGTAAAGTAAAAAAAGAGGCTTGGTTGAACATTTACTGGAACCCGCTATGTATGTTTGTTTGTAAGGATTTTTATGAAGTTTCGGAATCCAATATACATATGGTAATTCAAATTCATTTTGGTTGTTTGGAATATTAAAAATATTCAAAACTGACATATGATTTTGCAACATTTCTTCCTTAGAAAATTAGAAAGGGAACTATGAGTATCAGTTGGATCACCACTTGTACAATTAAATCCAAGTTTCTCTAAAATACATTTAATATAATGAGCCTTACAAACAAAGACAATGTTGTTACCTGCTTTGTCAGCAGGGACCAGTACGTATTGATCATGTAATTTGTGGAATAAAAATTCATAATACTTGTAAAATGGAATTTTTGTTTCACGGGGGAAAGATGTTTTAAAATATTTTCCGTCTTCCGTTGATTTCTAAAATGAAAAAGGAAAGTTTTACCCAATATTTATAGTTAACTCTCTTTGTTTTCCCAAATAAGTTTTTTTTGGGGGGAGGGGGGGGGGATTCACATAAATATCTATATAAATAAAAATATATATATATATATATTTAGTTTTGAAAATTGATGTTGAGGTAGGCGGAAGATCAATACTTTCGTTCGTAGTTCTTTGATGCAAAGTTAAATACGGTTTCGCGTTATCCTTTAAGTTTTCTCATTTCACTTACCAACATATTTTATAGTTACATTTAAATTTTGATATGAAAATGAGTTTTCATATATATAATAATTTCAGGTTGGTGCATGTATAGTTAACAATGAAAAAAGGATAGTTGCCACTGGATATAATGGTTATATTGACCCACCGGAAATGCAAGGAAATCAAAACAATGATGAACTATTTTCAGAAGAGGAAAAAAGTAAATCTGGTAACTTTCTGTTTACTTCCTTCTCTTGCAATTATCCGGTTTGCAAAAATATTTTCCTAAATTAACTCGATAGCCCTTATTTCATTTAAATCTGTTGAAGAAAATAAAAGTGCTATAGAAAAAAGACTGGAGGGACTGACAGTAATCTAAAATAAGCATTTTCAGTATAAGTGCGGTACTGCTCATCAGGATGGAAACTTGATAACGTTTGGCAGTGTTTGTTGGCTGATAATCAAATAACGTTTTTTAACAAAAATTGATCTTACGTCATATTTCACCAAACTTTTTCAATTTGTCCTGCAAAAGATTGGTATTGCAGTTGTCGTGAAAAGATTATTTTAAAAAAGTACAAAGTTAAACATCTCACCGCAGAATAATTGTTGTATTTATGAGAAAAGAAAACATATTCTGTTATTTTTTCAGTTTGCCATGCTGAAATGAATGCTGTTATAAACAGGCACAGTACCAGTTTAAAGGATTGCACTGCATACGTTACATTCTTTCCTTGTAATGAATGCGCCAAACTGCTTGCCCAGTCACGGATAAGTAAAGTTATATATTATGCCAACGACAAATCTGACGAGCAAAAATACAAGTTATCTAGAAAAATGCTGGAGTTTGCAAAAATACAATTACAGTATGTATACTTATTACAGACTGTATTTACACAAGTTTGAAAGTAGGCAACATTTAAAGTGTTAAACTTTAGAAAAGTTTTGCCCCAAAAGACAATTGTGTGTTGTCAACTATAGTGAACAATGAATGGCAAAAGACTACCCAAACACACTGTATCTGATATAAACATGCAAGATTTTAACTAACAGATATCAGTGCACATGCAGCGACATGAATACGTTTAATTCTTCCTGCAAACTTTGTGTTTTCCTCATACAGTAGCTGCAACGTTATTGTTGACAACTTACACGAACGATCACGTTACACGAACGATTCCGCACGATTCACGCACGATAAAGTCTGTTACACGAACGATCCTTCACGCACACGATTCTACACGTTACACGATCTAACACGATTGCTAACGCAAACGCACGATTCTTCACGCAAAATAGTTCAAATGCTGTAGGAATGGATATTTTCAAAACGAAATAAGGCTTAATACTTATTTTAGATTTCAAATAATTATTGATAATTTATTATTTCATCGACTTTGAAAAATAGAAATGGATATTTCTGGAACTAAATACATGTAAGATTTATGAATTATTTTAGATTACAAATACTTATTTACGAAATTCTCCGACTTTAGAAAACTGATTTTTTTTTTTCGTTTTATCAGAAGATTTACATGTAGGTGGACCGTGAGTTTTGATTGAATTGGATTTCATAATATGCAGAAAGGGATAAGTTTGAAAAAAAAAATGGCATGAAAATGAATTAGATTATAAGTTATATCCATGTTTCAATTTGTGAATCTCTAAAATCAACAATTATTTTGCAAATCACTTATTTGCAGAAATTATAAAAATAATTAAAAGTAACCTCCAGAGATAACACTGATAAACGAAACCCCGAGAATCATGTCGTATACATGTACATTCGCCGACTAAATACATATGTAAGCATTGAGAATTATTTATTTGTAAAAATGTCTATTTTTGATCTATTGATTTTGAAAATATCTTGACCATAATTAGCAATACATATAATTAACATCAGAGGAAAAAATCAAACATCTAATACGGTTTATCAGAAAGAAAAATCATGCTATTTGACGAGAACACAATACTGTACGACTTACTATATTGTTTATTTCCAAGCGATAATTAGCTCGTTCTGTTTTCAATTAAGTAAATCGCGCTTCATTTCTTAAAAAGAAATTAAAAATTTGGATTGAAAAAAAAAAACAGACAAGCGAAATGCTTGTATAACAAATAACATTCCTATAACAACTTACAAAACGAAATTTACACGTTTCTTAACGCACGATCACGCACGATTAAAACCGCAAACGATTGAGTCTGTTACACGCACGATCTCGCACTTTACACGAACGATCACGCACGTTACACGAACGATTCTACACGATTGGTTTGTCAACAATAACGTTGCAGCCACTGTAGCTCCAGATAGTTTACACAATGTCTAATCGCAGTGTTTTAATGTTAATGTTTATTATAGTTCAAAGTCACTATCAAGAATAATCTGGCTCCTTTTATACAAAATATAGAGTAAAATACTCATAATTACAGGCACTAAGTTTTCTATAAAA